ATTACAAAGAGCAGGAAAAAAGTGTAGGGTTTGCTTTTTTTTTTTTTTTAAGCTTTAGAAGAATTCTGGGGGAAAAAAATTTAGAGAGTAAAATATATACAACAGGTAAAAAGGAGAACCGAAAAAAAGAGAAAAATACAGACGACCACATCAACGCATCAAAAGCAAGACTCAGAATTTAGAAACAGAAAGCTAGGCACGAGCTTCAAAGTGAAGTTTAAAGGTTACTTGGCAAGAGAAAGGAGTCAACAGAAAGTCCAAAGTAGTGAGAGGTAATTCTGGTTGCTCAGTCCTGCCAGAGAAAGCACTTTGATTACAGTCAAGGCAGAAGATCATCAGAACATGAAGAGTTCTAACAGCTACAGCAGCATGGGAATAATTTTCAAGAAATTAAAGAAAAATAAAACACGCATTACCCCACAGAGAAACGTTGTACAAAAATACATGGAGAAGTTATTCCTATCTTATCCATCAATGCCTCTGAATTACCAAACTGGCATTCCAGCTGGGGTGAGTTTCCTCCTCAGAGGATGCTGCAAAGTCTGCTTTCACTGTCTGCACACCTGGTGTTTCCTTTGGAATGTGCAAGATTTCGATCGACATGTCGAGACATCGTCAGGAGAGCTGCTCCCGTTCTGACCTAATTACATATTTTTGGGTATCGTTAACACAGGCAGCTTGCTCTCCTGTAACCCAGCAGGACTTCTGCAGGAGAAATTCACTATTTGGGTTCCACCCCCAGCTTCCCTCCAAAGCTATCCTAAGTGAAATTGAGTAACTTCATATTACCTCGAAATATTTTTGAGGGAGAAAGAAAATGTTTTCTTCAACACGTCTGAAGGAAACTTCCCGATTGAGAGAAGGGAGAAAACAGTGACAGAAAACAGAATGGAAATACAACTGAATTTACTTCCCGATTGAGAGAAGGGAGAAAACAGAACGGAAATACAATTGAATTCTCCTGGGGCTTTCTAGATGGGTACTTTCTTATACTTCCTGCACTTTGAAAAATTCTTGGCAGAGGAACTATTTCTTAGCAGGATATGTCTCTGCCCTCGCTCCATTAACACTAGATGCCTCTGTTAGGTGGATTTTAGCTTTGATATTGCTCTTTGATAACCTTGTTTTCAAAGAGCTTGTCAGGTTTTCTACATCTCTGTTTACAGTTTGGACAGGGCCACATTTTGGCCAAACATGAGCAGAAAAAGCACCAGGAGTTCAGCAGAAGTCACCTGTACTGAGCAGTATTGTTCTATTCAGCCATCACCTTTGATCAATCCCTCCCAGTTTTGCAGGCTCAGAAGTTTGATACCGCTTTATCTGGAGCAAGCAGAAGCTCAGAAATCTAAACAACATAATTGCTCATTTTCCAGTAACAAAAACTTCAGAGATGATTCACGCCGTCCATACATAAAATCAGGCAGAACCTTTCAACAACAAACTGCAGCTCCAACTATGTCCTAACATCCTTACCCGTAGAAAGGAGCCTAAAAGATTTTTGATTTGTGCAACTTAGCCGCCAGATCTAACAGGGAAGATAAAGGGGCTTTCAGTAGTCTAATCGAGACTGTGTTACTATTCCATAACAGCTCAGCTTACTCTCCATTGTTTTAGGCAAGCGCTAAACGAATGGACAAGTGCCAAACTTGAGCATGCGTGCCAAGAAAGAGTAAAAAAAAGCTAAATAGGAGACCTCATCCCTAATACCCTGACTATTCCTTCAGCAGTGAATGACCTACTTGGACTTCTGAATGCCTTTCAAAGTTTCCACACTGCTTTCTGTCCTGCCATTTACCTGTACGGCAAGAGAAACAAAACATCCAACAGCCTGAGTGGCAGCAGAGGGGAAAGAAATTAGTGAGCCACGCCGGATTTCAGCAGCACAGCAGAACCACCAGCACAGGACCCAGAGCTCCAGGTTCTGTGAACAGCAGAACCCAGGGAGCTCGCTTCTGTGGAGCTTCAACACATTCAGCTTCCACACACACTGCTGCTGTCTAACAAGAGCACAATTCTCACACCTCACTGCAGACACTATAAAGACCTTCTTATTTTTCACCAAATAAATAAATAAATAAATGTTTCTAAGCTAAAGGAAACTTCCCAAAACCTTTCAAATAGTGTTTTTAAGACTTATAAACAAAAAAAAAAAAAAAAAAAAAAAAAAAAACGAAGAAACAAACTTTACCATATAATCAGTATTTCCTTGGGAACCACAGAGAAAACACTGTTCTGCATGAGCCATTCAGGCACCTCACCCACACAAACCTCAATGCATCAATACTGTTATTGCATGCACTCATACCCCAGATCTTATATGAGAGTAGTGATATGAGTGACCAAATATCAATGAACTTAAGCTCTATGAAGAATCCAAGATTGCAGTGCATTAGAAACAAGCCAATGAAACAGCTGCAGGACTGTGAAATAAGACTACACCAAAGTGCAGCTGTACGGGAACTAAAAACTAGAACATCAGTAGGTATCAGCATCCCTACAGCATACGAAAATGAAATGTATCCTGCCATAATCAGAGGCTGCAGAGCATTAAACTTGATGTTCTTGCAACCACATGCAAAAGCATTGACTTGTCACAATGGTGTCCTTCAGAGCTTATTTAAACAAAATGTCCCTAATGTGCTTCAAGGGTGATCACAGTAAAGGAGTAAGACCAGGAGCTGGCACAGAGGGTTCTGCACCCAGATCCACTGTAGACCTCCTCAGATGCAGGCAACTTGCAGAGGTCCTGGGTATTGCATGCACTGACCCCTTCTTATAGGTCCTTCCTAGCTTCTACAGATTTATTCAGTACTGACTGTTAAAGGAAAAAAGACAGTACCTCAGTGACTAAGTTCTGCTAGGAGAATTAAGCACATTACAGGATGAATGACAAATCCAGTTAAAGTCACCCTCATTGTGATTTGAGGGGGGGAAAAAAAAAAAAAGAAAAACAAACAGCTGTTAGTCTACCTTCCTATCACCTTGTCACCTGGCATTCCTTGGGAGTATAAACGCTATTTTTAAGAGAAGTTGGAAGACAGCCACTGTTGTATCTGAGGGGTAAAAGGTGTACTGGGAAAATCTGGACTTCTTCCTCAAAAATGAAACCCCCACACTTTTTTGATTCGCTTTTGATTTCTCCTCCTCTTCCCCCAAATTTCACTGGGAAGTAAAACAAACAAAAAATGCCCTTGGTCTATCAATAACAGTTTTCAAAAGTTTCTGTAAGCAGTTTTGATACAATTAAAACACAAGTTAATGCATCCATTCAGTGGGTATTTTATCATGGCTGCTGTGCTACAATATTGCCCCATTTGCCAGTCTCATGTGTATCAAATCCTGTAGTTCTAAAAAGTGAGAAGAAGTTATCAGTGACAAAGTAGCGCCTCAGCAGTCCACCAGATTTACCATAGGGACATAGGAATGTAAAGTAAAAAAATAAAATACTCCTTTTAATGATACAAGACCTCTGTAATACATGACACCATATTGTGTCAAAGCATTAGGACAGAAAAATCACAGCCTCATCATGAAAGCAAATCAAACTGTGCATTCCCCTACCAATGGCAAACCACATATTTCATTGTTTTTCCAACATGTCTGTAAAGTTCCTCCTAAGAACACTTAAAAGCTTCTTTTTTATGGAAACAGCTCAAAAGCCAAAATGACAAATAATGTCTCATAGCTGTAAGTTCCCTATAGAGACCTGAGTGCAACTGTATGCTGGCAAACTGGCCAAACGCAGTCTTCATGCCAGATGTAAATTACATAGCAGAGAACTTAAAGTTTTTAAAAGCAAAAACCAGGCTTGGGACAAGCAGGACACACCTAGTGAACCGGGCACAAGGAGCGCCGCACTCCAGTGCGAGACACGTGTTGTAAGCACAGGGTACACACAGCGAACAAAAGCATTTAAAGCCTTTTTTTTTTTATAACTCAGGGTAAATACGGTGGAAATCACAAGTGCTTATAAAGAGCAAACAGACACTGACTATTCACCGGCTCTTTTAAAGTGAAGAACAAAGGGATGCCAAATTAAATCAGGAGGGAGGCTCCGAACAAACACAAGGTAGCTGGAGGTGAAGCCAGGAATTCCTGGCTGCGGGCCGTTACCGATACCGAAAGCTTACAGAGAACCACTGAGCTGGTGGGAGATGTGCACAGCCTGCCCCACACCGTACCTGTGCCTCCCCACTGCATGCAGGTGCCGAAAGCTGCGAGAATGATTCCGGACAGCGCCTTCCTCCAGCCTTGTGCTCTTCGAGACAGGAACGTGGCGGGGGTTTTTGGGGGCAGATCACGTCGGACTGCTCCTCGGCGTCCCTGTAAAGGAGCAAAACGCTTCGTGCTGAACCCAGCGAGCCCTGCAAGCGGGGAGCTCGCCCCGTGCCCGCCTGTTGTCGCCCCCCCCCCCCCGTGCACGGAGCCGCCGCTGCCCCGCGGAAGAGGAAAGCCGAGGAGCTGCCGGCGGGGCGGCCGCACTTCCTGCACATCTCCCCGCAGGAAACCGGCCCGGGGACCGGCTCAGCCCCAGCCGTGCCCTCCCCGCACCCCCCAAGCCCCCTTCGGAGCCCCCCCCGCGGCTGCTCCTCGCTGCCCTGAGGGAAGCCGCCGCCCCCGGTACCCCCCCGGTATCCCCCCGGTATCCCTCCCGGTACCCCCTTTCCCCTTCCTCCCCACTCCTCCCTGCTCCTATTTCCCCTCAGCAGCCAGCACAAACGCCGTCCCGCCTCCCCTCCCGGCCCGGCGCGGGGCGGGGGCCGCGCTCACCTCAGGGCCGCCCGGTGCCCGCTGCTCCCGGGGCGGCGGCGGCGAACCCGAACCCGGGCGCCGGCCGCACCCCGCCGCGCGCAGGCGCCAGGGCGCAGGCGCGGTGATGGCGGCGGGGGGAGGCGGCGCCGCTGTGGGGGAGCCGCCATCTTTCGACAGCTCCCCGCCCCCCTCCCTTCCCCTCAGGGGGGTTGAAAGTAATCTTAAATAAAGATTCAAAAATCAAGTTCAAAGGTTAAAAGCAGTCTGCCTGTCTCTGAGCCCGTCTCAGCTGTGTACACGGAGCTATGGCGTGTTGTGTTTTTATTGCTTGCCCCCTGTGAGCCGAGGGTGGTTACACACTGCTCTGGGTCGGGGCTGCTCCTCCAGGGCCGCTGTCAAAGCCCTTGAGCGGCTGCCGTGCTGCTGAGTGCCTCCAGCTCCTCGTCGTCCTCCTCTGACCAGCTCAGGCTGTCGTCAGAGTCCTCCTCTAGCTCCTCCGTGCTGGCAGCCGCCTTCTCCGGTTCCCCCTGGGAGCACGCCCTGCTCTGGGGGTGCTCCAGCCTGGCCCAGGGTCCCGGGCTGGCTTTGCAGAGCGTGATCTCCACCTTGGTAGGGACCATGCTCACAAAGCTCTTCTCCGTTTCAATGACCTGGAGAGAGGGCAGGGCACGTCAAAATGAGCAGGAGAGGGCCGGCAGCACGTGCTCATCCTTCCCACAATCAGTAGAGCCATGATGGAGGTGAAAAGACAAGAGTCCTCCCCTCCTCAGGGCAGAGCAGGATGAGTCCCGGCATCCAGCTGAGCTTGGTGTTACACCTCAACAGCACTTTGGTGCTGGTGCTGGGCTCCACTACAGCCCTTTCCACACAGCTACAAGGCACGGGCTCCTCCACAGCCAGCAGCACGCTCTGCTGCAGGCAGGCACAGGCAGCACACGAGGGGAATAAAGGCAAGAAGGACGCATGCAAATTGCTGAGCCTCGCTGCTCCTCTGCAGCTGGCAAGTGGCTGAGGAATTGGACAGCGAGTCTTGCCCCTTGCACTGCTTCCAAAAGCACGGGGACTGAGCCAGGTTCAGGGAGAGCCAAATCCAGAAGGCCAGGAGAGCCAGCAGCGACACCCAGCTCTGCTCTCAGTCAAGGATTGGCGCAGCCACCACTAAGGACCCTCCTCACAACCCCTGTGATATTTCCTACGTAGCCAGTAGAGATGGGTATAAATGCTGGCATCTGGGTGACCTGGCTCCCAGGCAGCCCCAACAACAAGTCAGCATCGTGGCAATATTTAAAAGAGAGCAGCCAGAGTGCTTCAGGTAGAACAGAGCTGCCAGGACAGAGCCCAGGCAGTCCAGGCATGGCTCACAAGGGGTGCTACCCATACAGGATCAATAGAGAAAAACATAATTTCCCCGTCATTTCCCCATCAGCATTTGCTGCTATGGAAAACAGGAGCTCTAAAGATAAACCAGTCCCCTCTGCTGTGACAGCCGTGATGGAGCTGTGTTCTCTGCAGGTCCTCAGGAGCTGGCAGTGAATAACACCGAGAGAGGGACTGTGAAATGGCTGTTTGTTCCACAGATACACCAGCCTGTTCTCGGGAAACAGCAGAATCCCGTGGGCCACACTGTTTTTGCGTGATAATGCAATTAAAGACTCCCTCGTGCTGCATGCACAGGAAGGACTGTGCAGAACTTGTAGCAGCAACCGCTTTGCTGCTTTTTCAGAAGTCTGAGACTATAAAGGGAGTGATTTTCCTTACTGGAAGCCTGTACTTGGGGCTGAAAATACTTCTCTAGCAGCTTGGGCTGCTCTACAGTGTTGCAGCTCATTCCCACACAGATTTCTGGAACAGGGAAATCAAAGTAAACAGGATCTTACCCCCCAGAGATCGAGTTCTGCCTGGAAAATCTTATTCCCTTCAAAGATGACGTGAACCTCAAGCTGAAAGATCAACAGAAAATTATCTTAGTGGGGCGGCACAGCACTTCCAGCGCTGTTCCCTGGACAGCGCAGCTGCCTTCCTGCCCTGTACCGCATCCCACGTCCCAGCTGCAGTGTAACTGCCGATCCCTCAGCAGCTGCCTCTCACCCCTTCCCCATGCTGCAGCTCCACCTCTGCCACCAGCTGAAGGTCTGGAGGCCAACAAAGCCCCATGCTGAGGCTGAAAGCCACTGAGCCAGCGAGGCTGGGCAGCTGCAGTCACAAAGCCACCAGGCTCTCAGCTCAGGAAGTGCCAACCCCAAATGGGTGTTGTAGAGCACCGGGAACCCGGCCGGCTTGTGGCTCATCGACACGGGGTGCCATGAAAGCCCCAGCCAGCTTGCTGGCCCCACTCACCACGGTGCGGTTGGCCTTCACACTGCTGAGGGCGGGCAGGGGGTTCTTGGCATAGATTGTCACCACCACTTGGCTGCTGGTTTGGTGCCAGTCCTGTCGGCACGACACCGCCTTCTTGTCCTGCCAGGGAGAAAAACCCATCATGGTGTGGCAGCCCCCAAGATGTTTGTGCCAGAGGGTGCTCTTTGTGTGTCTGTCCTTCGCAGAGAGCAAACTAAGGACAGCATCAGCTGAGCGAGAGCAAACCCTGCATCTTGTTTTGGAGGGGAGGTGGTTTGTGTGAAGGTGGGCAGCCCCTGCCGGACTGCCCCATGCAGCACAGGACATCTGTGCTGTGCTCCAGGATGTGTTAAGAGCAGACATCCCCTTGTTCCAGGGTCACTCTGCTGTGCCCAGGCTCACACCAGGAGCAGGCACAAAGCCTTTGCATCACATCAGAGTTCATTCACTCTGCAGGGACAGCAAAAGATGCCCTCTCAAAGCAGCCTCCCTTACACCCCCTGCGTGTTTTCAGCCCAGGACAAAGAACATCCTGAGCTCCGAGAGGGCTGCTCAGGCAGTCTGGCAGTGCTGACTCAGAAGAACACGATGCACTTTCAGAGATATCCTGGGCTGTTTTCTTGTAACTTTCCCAGCTCCAGCGTGCTGCCAGCTAAGAGAAACTCTCTCATGCACACAATCGTGAATTGGCATCTTCCCCTCGTGGCCCTGCCACAACAGCCAGTGCGGATGAGGTCTCTCCTGAGAAGCAGCTGCAGAGAGAAAGCTTCATGAAAACAACCTCAAGTCATTTGCAGACATCCGCCAAAACTTTTGGGGGATTTTTGCAGGGCTTTTCCTGTGCTCAACTGCCTGTTCCTGTGCGGCAGCCTGCAGCACCAGCCACACCAAGCTCCTGGAGCAGAAGGTAGAGGCAGCCCTCCTTCAGCTTCCCATTGCACCCGTGCCACAGGCGTGAGAGCTGCCAGGTTCTGTGAATGCAGAGGCAGAGTTTTAAAACAACAGATGGGTGAGGATTCAGCGTTCAAACCCTGATGCAATCATCTGCGAGCAATTATGAAAATTAGCAGAATTAAATATGGAAATCCGCGTTAATGCAGAGCAAGGGAAAGAGTAGCCTCGGGTGCCAGTTAAGGTTTTCCCGGAGGCACTTTGCTCAATCACCTCCCCGGCAGCTCCCTTACCGCCTTCCCCGTCCAGCAGTGCCGCCCCGTGCTGCAGCCCGGCTGCTCCAGGAAGGCACTGAAGTCGGTGGTCCTGACCCCGCAGCAGCTCCAGTATTTCATCCTGCAGGGTGTGGGGCTTCCTGAGCGGGCAGCAGGACCCCAGCAAGGGCAGGACCCCACGGGACCGCTTCCAGCCCGCAGCGAGGTCAGTAAAGGGAAGTTCCTTACCCCTCGTGGAAGACAGGAACGCCAGGGTGGAAGGTACAAACCTCTGCGTTGCTCTCTGCACCCCGGTAGACCTGTGGGGCAAGAAGCAGAGGGAAGGCTTGGCTGTGCCTCCAGCACGGCATGGCCAGGCACCCATACATCAGGGCCCGTTCCCATCACAGTCACAGCATGCTGCCCGTTGTCACCCTTCCCGCAGGGTCCAGCATCGGAGAGGACTTTCTGGGGACAGCTGCTGGCCCTGCTCCCTGTTGGCAGCACCCAGCCATGGCAGGACACCGCTGCATGCCCCCAGCACCGCCCCACCAAGCCCCTATCCCAGCACAGCACGGCAGCCTTGGGGCGAGGCAGAAAGCGTGCTGCACTGCAGGAGTGAGGAGCAGGCAGGAATTATTCCATCCCATGCCCATCCTACCCGGGTGAACTGCAGGGTGGTGCAGAGCGTGCAGGGATGCTGGGTACGGGGACGCCGGGTACTCACCGCCTTGCAGGCTGCGTTCTTGCAGGTGGTGCCAGCTCTCACCTGCGCTGCCGCCTCCCCTGCAAGGACAGCACAGCTTTGCTCGGGGACACACACCCCGCCTGTCCCCAGCCCTCCCACAGCCCCTGCTCCAGGCTCGCCAGGCCAGGCCAGGCCCCGCTGCCAGCTGCGGACTGAGAAGTACCTGTGCAGCTGCCCTCGGGCACCTTGTCGTGGGGGGACAGGTTCAGTTTCTCCAGCGCCTGCTCCAGAGACCTGGATACTTTAATTGGCAGCAGTTGTCGTGGCTCATCAGAGCTGGAAAACAACAGCAACAAAGGCTGAGATTTGTTTTTTTTGTTTGTTTGTTTGTTTTTGCAATTTAAGTGCCGCGGCTCCTTCCCAGGAGGCAGGCAGGGCAAGGCTCATGCACAAGCAGCAGCGTGGCCAGGCGATGCCATCAGCTGAGCCTCTCTCACCTTGGTCTTTCCCGCTGCATCATCTCAGCTGATTTTGGTCCTTGGATGATGAATTCCGCCACTGGCTTGGCCTTCGCCTTGTCCGAGCTCTCCTCTTGGAGAGGCTCAGGGGGCTTCTCCTTGCTGTGGAACCCCTTTGTGCATCCCTGAGCAGCAGAGACGAGCCCGATGCCTGCTTTGCCCTTTCTAACCTGGAGGCTGCTCCAGCCTCGGTGAGCTCCTGTGACCCAGTGGCTCTGCGTCCTGCAGGGCCGGGCTCCCACCCTACAGCAGCACAGGGGCCGTGTCCACAGGGATTCCCACGTGCAGCCCCACTGGGGGCTGTGTCGGGAAGCCTCAGCTCTGTCCCACCCCAGCCTGGCAGCAGAGGGACAGCAAAGAGCCTCCCCACCTCCCTGGGCTGCTCAGACACCTCATGGCGCTGGGGGCATGAGCTGCACGGGGTCCCAGCCGCTTTGGTGAGTCGCTCACCTGAATGGAGAGGAACTCGGAGAAGTCCGTCGTGCGCTTCTTGCAGCAGGACCAGCCCTGGGCACCAGGAGAGGACGAGACGGTCGGGGTGGATGTCCCCACCGGGCACACGGTCCCACCCCACAGCTGTGGCCCCTCTTACCTTCAGGGCATCGTGGAAGATGGGGACGCCAGGGTGGTACAGGCAGGCATCTGAGGAGAGAAAAGCATTCGGAGCCTTTCGGGAAGGGCGATCCTGCCTGTGCACCCCCAGCTGCTCCCGAGCTGCCTGCTGGCAGCCGAGGCTGCAGACCAGGAGAGGATCGGGGGCAGGAACCCGCTTACCCTCGGCGTTGTGCTCGGGATCAAACCTCTGCCCGCAGCCCTTGTTGTAGCACAGCAACGCCATGGCTCAGGCAGACACGCGGCGTCCTTCACTCCAACAAAAACCCCGTCAATCTCATCCCCTCTGTTTCCCCACAGTTCCCAGCACAGGCACCGTGAGGTGACTTTGCCTGCCTTTGGGGGCAGCTGGAGGAGGCGGCTGGTAACCGGAGAGCTGGCCAAAGATGGACATGGCAGCTGGCGGGACCCGCGTTATCTCCAGAGGCATATTTCTGTCCTGCCCCATGCTCCAGCACACGCAGGCGCCCGGCGGAGGGGACGCACGCTGCGGGGTGCCCTGGGGTGGGCAGAGGGCTGCCAGCGCCTGCATCCCAGGGCATCTGCAGCACCACTGTGCTTGTGCTCGGATCTGTGGAGCCACAGCTCCTGAGCAGCTGCTGGGAGAGCTCTCGATTTATTTATTATCCAGAGAAGGGGCTGAAAGTTTACTGCAAAGGGAAGGAAGAGACTTCGCAGGGTCCCAGGGCAAAACCTGTGCACATGGCACCAGAGGACCAGAGCAGGGAATGTGCCCAGACATCCCTGATCCCCACCAGGGCCTTGTGCGGCCCAGGGATGAAATCTGTCCCCAGCAGCTTTCCCTGCTTCCACCATCACCACAGAAGTGTGCAAAATGATACGAGGGCTTCCAGTGAGCAGGAGGGGTTTGCTGAAGCTCCCCGTTCTCATCCGAACACCCCGGGTTTTTCTTCCTACAGACGAGAAGCCCTCTTGAGATCAAAGATTTTACGTAGTTCCTACGAATATCTAAAACAAAAGTTTCTTTTTATTGTTCCTGTTTGCAGAGGCAGATGTTTCCTGGGTGTCTCTCTGACCTGTGGGAGCACACTGCAGCCAGCGAGCACTTCTGCTGCGGAACTGGGTCTGAGAGAAGCCCACGAAGGGCAGGTCCTGTGGGCAGCAGCTGCCCTGGGAGGCAGCCTGGATGCCACTGCTGCTCCTCTCAGAGCAAACCCTCAACACAAAGGTACAGCAGCCCCAAAGCCTGCCCTACCTGCGGTGCAATATCCCCAGGAAAGCTTTGCAGGAGTGCCAGCAGCCTGGCTTCGAGCTGATGCCACCCCTTAAAGAACTGCGTGCCCCAAGGCACTGTAACAGGCAGCAGTGTGAAGGGCGGGTGGAGAAGCAGGAGGGATCACACAGGTCCCAGGGAGTCCGTCAGAGCCCTGTGACGGGTCTGCGTGGTGCTCTAGGGTTTCAGGTCTCCTCGTCCTTTCTGCAAGCCGTCAGCAAGGCCGCAGCTGTTGCCATCCTCGTGCCAGGGAGGGTTTGGAGCTCGGGTTACTTTGCAGAGGAAACGCCGAGGCGATGCGGAGGGTGCTGTGGCTCGGTTTGGAAGGACCAGCAGGTTTGAGGTCAGGGTGGCAGCCCTGGGGACAGGCACAGCACACCCAGGGCGCAACAGTGACAAGCCCTGTGCTAGGGCTGGCACTTTCTGAATGAGAGAAAGGAGGAGATGAGGTACTTGTAATAGGAAGGCCGTGGTGTGGGGCAGCACACCGATCACCCAGCGCCTGGTTGGGAGCTGTGGCTGCCAGCAGCCGTGGCCCCACGTGGCTGGGTCCAGCCCTGCCCCAGGGCAGAGCTCCAAGTAAAGCACAAGTCCCTGTCGTGTGGGCTGGCTGTGGGCAGCACCTTTGGAACGGCGTGCAAGGAACGGCCAGCTGGGAATTACAAATAAAGCCTCTCTGCTTCATCTGCAGTCAATTTGGTCTAACAGAACAAAAAGGAGATAGAAAAAATGGAGCCAATCGCTCTCAAACGACTTCCACAGTCGTTTCTTGGGGAAAGCCCTGTTATCACCTTAGACCTTGGACCAAGGAGCACAGGGCGCAGCTGCAGACGAGGCCAGCACAGAGCTGGGCTTCCAGACCCCAAGCACTGAGCATGAAAGCAAATGTCACCTCTTGAGGCTGCCGTGTGCCAAGGACATGCAGGTCTGTGAACAAAGAGGAGCGAGAGGGCAGCTTGAGGAAGGAGGTGACTTCACCACAGGGACACCTACCTGTGCATGCAGGTGCTGAAGGGCTCCTCACACAGAGAGGCACAGGGGAGGCACAGCACTTCTCCATGGAGCGAGAAGGCTGTGTGTGTGTAATCCAGTCACAGCAATCCTGCAAAGCCTTTCAGCAAGGAGCCAGTCCAGAAGTCCTCTCCGAACACACAGTTTCCTTGTCTTCAGCTGGCACCCTCGTGAAAGCCTGCAGCCAGAATTAGCAGCGTGGGGTTTTACAGGTTTTCCTTTTGGGGGCGCCACAGCCTAGAGGCACAGCCACCCCGAGCAGGCAGGCTGCACCGAGCGAGGGAGCGTCCCAAAGGCACAGTAAGGTAACAGTAAGACTGCTCATCAGTCCTGGTAGGGAACATCTGCCAGTCACGTTCCAGGTAAAAGCCCCAGGAACAGCCACATCCCCTTCACAAGGCAACAGAAGGGCTGATCAGCATTCTAGCCACCTTACTCGGCATTTTGCAGCGTGTAGTTACCTTAGCAAATTGACAGGTGAAAAACATCAAGCTCCTCACACTGTACCTACAGGTGTCGCAATCCCTCTGATAATCACCACTAAATACTGCCAGCTACTCATACAGATGATGCCAAACACTGAAATAAAACAAGCAAAAGAAACAAGACCAGCAGCTGCAGTCTCTCTCCAATACAACTTACCAATCGTGCCATTACAAGCTAATTATAAATATTCAATGAACAGCTGTAAACTAGTAAAAGCCTCCAGAATGACTATTTCATCTCTTTTAACAGGGTACCCACAGGCCAATTCATAATTTTTAAAAGCTATTGCTTTGGTAACATCAGGCACCTGAAAATGTTTTCATCTTCCCTATTATTTCTCAGGTTTATAAGGCAGCTCCTTATGCTCCTACACGGTAACTTTCTCCCTCCCGAAGTCTCTTCCTAAGCTCCCCCTTTCTGCTCCCTCCTTCCCAGTCTCACCTCAAGCTTCAATACAAGAGTGTAAGTCAGGACTCCTGTCCTTACAGATTCCCTCAGTTATTACATAGGATTAATTGTTATTGTCACCACTGACACAGTCCCTCAGCTTTCTGCCCCAGCGGAGTTCAGAGCCCCACAGGAAGGTCTGCATCCTACTCAGAGGCAACTGCAACACGGAGCAGACAGCTTTGTATGAGGCAGATCAGACACAGATTGAACTCTGCGCTCCCAGTGAGTCACAGACAAGTCTTCCACTTTGCTTCTCTGTGCCTGCAATGTAGACATAACCTAGGTGCATCAGGACTTCCCCTTATTTTACTCTTAAATGCTGAAGTTAAGGTTCTTATTCCAAAAACCATACAAAACTCATTATGTGACAAGAACTGTTAGAAAATTCCCAGGGGTTACACCCTGTTTACAGAGCTATGCAAGAACAACTTTTACTCCAGAATCTGATGCTTGATTTACTTCAATACGTAGGTACATATTTTAGTAAAAAAAATAGAAGAGACAGCACACCAGATAAAAAAGGCTTAAAATCCACTTTAATAATAATGCATTCCTGTAACATTCCTCAGACAAACTCAAACTTGTTAGTGGGACAATTACAGCTTGTGTTCAAACAGTTTACACTAAATGAAAAATCTTGTAGTACTTCTACACAAAAGACAGGCAAGGTTAAGATTATACAAACATTTGTTTCAGTTAAATCTTCAGCATGAGATACAGTATCTTTGTCCAATAGATTGTACTTTACTACCAGTAAAAATAAACAGCGATACAACACATTATCAAAAAATTCATCCGAACAAGAGCCTTCCAGCCATTCCGGCTGCACATGACGGTCAACTACTTTAAAGAAACAGATGGTCCAGATAAAAAGAGTAACTACAAGTTAGGATAAAAAAAAAAAAAAGAAAAAAATGAACATAAAATCTCCCCAATTCACTACATGATGGATCATTTGGAGCTATGTAAATTTACAGAATCATGGGAGCTGCAAAGTACCCAGATGCTGCCCTAGTTCTCCAGAGACTTCTTCCCTGTGCTCTTAAGCAAGGTACGCTACACTAAAATTAAAAAAATGCCAAGACAATTTTATCTCGTTTAGTCTCAGGGCTCCGGCTGCAAATAGGAAACCTGGAACGGTCAAGGCATTGAGGTCCTTGCCAGATTTTACCGTTACTGAACAACCACGGCAGCCTCCCAGAATCCATTTTCACATTGAAATTATAGGAATGCACCACATGAAATTTTCTAAAACCTTTACCAGTCAGACTGCACTCCCCTTTTCCTAGAGTGGCTTAACCAAAGCAGGCCCTAACGAACTAATTTGAACATCCACCCCCTGAGAAGAACCCTGTGTGGCCTGCCAAGATTCCTTTTCTCTTTGGGGCACGTGCAGGGGGCAGCTTAATCCTGTTAGTATCTGCGACGCTTGTTGGGGCCAAATTCCCCCCCTGGATTTCCTCTGTTGAAGGCAGGTGGGTTCCCACCCATCGCTCCGAGTCCTTCCATCGCGCTGCCCTGGCCGAAGCGATCTGCAGGCGGTGGTGGAGTCTTGTAACGAAGAAGAGTGCAGAAGAGGCAGAAGGAAAAACAAAGAACAAACAGCAGTTAAAAGCCATTTGAGTAGATTTGAATCCTGTCAGGATCCCACAATTACAGTTCACCTTGCTAGAAACCCCCCACCCAACCAAAACCAACCTCAAAGCCCCCAAACCAGGCTGATAGGACTCTGGTTACAGTTAAGCATTGTAGGATAAAGCCTCTTTCCCCACATAGCTTGGAGTCAAGCAAACTGGAAAACAGCTTATGTCATCTCCACAGTAGTGCCTTGCTGTGGAGCACATGAGAAATGCAGTCTGGGAAAGGAATTTCACGTTTCCACCATATTTCCCCACCCAAACTGAATGTAAACGAGGAGCAGCACACTCATAACACAGCAGTGTCACAATCCAGGTGTATGCAACGCTACAATTCCAAGGTAAGTCTGAGATACTTGTCTTGTGCCTTGGTCATATCCTGTCACTTCCATTCCTTTGGCTCTCCCATCTCCCAGCTAGAGTAGTGCTATTGCACAGCCTCTTCCTTCCAGCATGGAGATGAGATGAAAGGGTAATTCAGCTTGGAAGGTACCTTAGGAGATCCCTCATCCAACCTCCTGCTCAAAGCTGAGTCAGCTATGAGGCAGATACATG